CATCGGGGCTCTTGGACCTCTACCAATTTAAAAAATGAATAGGCATGCATTGAATATCTCGATTTTCAGGATTGGTCCCCCCAGCAAAATCTTTAAATCTATAGTCCCTTTTCCCCATACGAAATGCCACCTAATTGAAACTAGTCTTCGACGGCTAATTTCCCCCCAAAAAAATTCTTTAGATATGGTCCCTTTTATTAAACTGACCCTCGGATTAGCAAGCCCTGCACGATCCCGAAAAAACAACCTTTGCAGCTTTTCGAGCAATGCACAATCATGCAGCTCACATATGTAGTAGATTCCCAGAATAAGGGGACCCTAATATACACCCCAAAATACTACTATCCTTGTTATAGGGACCCCCCAAAAAAAGGTACCCCTAATTCTGGGAAACCCCATGTGACTTTGTCGTAGTCCCCTCGACTCGCAGAGGGGTCCGCCTCAATCGTGGTCTGGAACTTGCCCGTGCGCTTGTACCTGCAACCGTTAGCAAAAAAAACACGTGTGCACGCGTACAATGAAACAAGGTAGGCGCTTAAAAGAACCCGCGCACTTTTGGGAAACTATCCTATAGTGACCTTGATTGGAAACAAGCTCAGCGTTATGCTGCTCACTGAAAGATTCTTCACTCCAGTTATATGGGCATAGGAGATCCGGTCATATGCGCACATGCAAGGGGGTTCTGAGCTTGGACCACCTGAAACATCGCCAGGACATCCCTCAGAACATTGCTTGCAAAGTTTGTGGCAGGAAGGCTGCTTAGTTGCCTCAAAAGCCTATCCACGCCCATGATGCAACTGCAGTGCTCTTCCATTAAGGTGGAAGCGCAAGCACCCACATGCCCTAAGCTTACCTTTGGTTAGCTAGAAATGAAGGAATGGATCCTGAAAGTAGTCCCTATATAACCCATTATAGTAGTTTCCATGTTCTGTTCCATTCTGTCATTCCCAGCTAACCAAAGGTAAGTAAACTCGGAGGTCTGCCTAACTCTCTATCGGCCTCTGCAGCTCGCGGATCTTTAGAACAGTCGCCGCTAAAAGGATTCCAGAGGCTTCCCAAAGTCCATGCTGAGACGCGAATGAATAACCCTCTTCCACTATGGGCTATTAGACCTTAAAGGTACCTTAATCTACACTTAATAAGGTCCTAATAGGGAATTTTAGGGTCTAATAGCCCATAGTGGTTCAGGGTTCTCCCCAAAACAACAGCAAGCGGCTTTTTTGTGGGGTCACTAACAAAATCTCCCTG